CTCTCACCTGTTCTCTCACTCCCTTGCACCTCTCCTTTTCGGCATTATGATTTGCAATACAAAAACTGAAAAGTTAGCAAGTATACTGGTCTCTTCTCTATCCTAACTGCCTTTTGCCCCACACCCTTCTTGTAAGGTTCCAATTGTTGACCAATTCTCTTGGTCCCTATTTCTTTGGTCTTGGATGTTAATCTCATACTTTTTTTTAATATCTCACAAATGTGTGCAGTAATTCTGTATCTGCCCCTCTCCTTTGACACATTTCACTCAGCATGATACTCTTCATGACTATCCATTTATAAGCAAATTTCATGTGTTTATTTTTCCTAAGCGGTGTAGTACTCCATTGTGTAGATGTTTCATAGTTTTATTACCCAGTTACCTGCTCTGGGATTGTTTCCAGATTCTGGCTACTGTGAATAGCGCTGCAATGAACACATACAATAGAAACACAAAATAGAAATATAAATAAAATATATAAATATAATATATAAATATAATATATAACATATAATATATAAATACAATATATCATATAATATATAAATATAAATAAATATAAGTGTAGATCTGGCATTTCTATTGTGTGTTTTTGAGTCCCTTTGTATATTCTCTGAAGTGGTATGGACGGATCAAATGGGAGCTCAATTTCTAATTTTTTGAGGAACATCCGTATTGTTTTTCCAAAAGGCTGGACTAACCAACATTCCCACCAACAATGAATAATAATATGTTTCTCTCTATAGTTCATGCCAGCGTTGGTTGTTCTTATTCTTTTGGATGTGTGCCAGTGTCTGAGCACCAACCATTTTAAATAGAATAAGTTGCATCGGAGGAAGCTAAAGTAAGTTATGACATGCTGCTACATGATGAGAAAATAATGTAGGATGAAAGCTCTGGATTAAACATTAAAAAAAAATTCAGGGTTGGAGAAATAAGCATAGAATTTACATTCTGCCTTCTATGTAGCTAACTCAACACTGCATATAATCTCCTGAACACTGCCTGAAATGATTCCTGAACACAGTAAGCACTGAGCACAGGATCACAGAAAGAGAAACAAAAATCATAATGTTTTTAATAAAATATTTCTATGTAGTAAGAATAATGTACATTCTTATGTATTCTTATTACTGGTAATGAAATAATGTAGTTGTTTGACTATGATTTGTGATAAAGGAATTTAGTTCCATAATTAATTCATCACATAAAAAATTTTCACTTGCATATTGTTGAAGTTTAATTCGAGTTGAAAGGTATTTGATACACACGTGCTGCCACTTTCCTTCCTTCCTCCCTCCCTCCTTTTTTCTATCCTTCCTTCCTTCCTTCCTGCCTGCCTTCCTTCCTACATTCTTTCCTTGCACCCTTTCTCTCTTTCTCTGTCTCCTTTCTTCTTTCATCCTTCTTTTATTCCTCCCTCCCTCTGTTCTTTCTCTTTATTTTCTTCCTTTCTTTCTCTCAACTTCTTTCTTTCTCTTCCTTCCTTCCTTCCTTCCTTTCTTCCCTTTCTTTCTTTCTTTCTTTCTTTCTTTCTTTCTTTCTTTCTTTCTTTCTTTCTTTCTTTCTTTTAAAATTTTTATTCTTAGTGAAACACCATGAGGTTGAGTTCTAGACTTACAAATTTTTGTGCTTGGGTTTCAGTTATACAATGATTGAGTACCTATCTCTCCACCGGTGCCCATTCCCCACCTCCAATGCTCCCAGCATCCCCACCCTCCATCCCACCACACCCCTGTGGCAGAGCATTCCCTTTTGTTCTCTCTCTCCTTTTGGGTGCTGCGGTTTGCAAAAGATGCATTGAGTGGCTATCATGTTTAGTGTATATAGTCTATTTTCAGCATGCATCTCTCATCCTGGGAGGGTCCTCCCAACACCCTTTACTTGGTGCTCCCCTCTATTTCTGAGCTTCCTTCTCCCTCAGCATGTGCGGCTGGCCTCCAAGCCATGGAGTGAACCACCTGGTACTTATCTCAGCTATTCTTGGGTGTTAGTCTCCCAATTTGTTAGTGGAAATATATCCCTGCGAGGCAAAAGAGTAGAGTCCAAATGACATCTTCACTTCTATGTTCATTGCTGCACTATTTACAATAGCCAAAATCTGGAAAAACCCGAGTGCCTGAGAACAGATGACTGGTTAAAGAAACTTTGGTACATTTACATGATGGAGTACTATGCAGCTGTTAGAAAAGATGAAGTCATGAAATTTAGATACAAGTGGTACTACATGGAAAGTATCATGCTAAGCGAAATGAGTCAGAGAGGGACAGACATAGAAAGATTGCATTCATCTGGGGAATATAAAGTTTCTTTCTTTCTTTCTTTCTTTCTTTCTTTCTTTCTTTCTTTCATCTGTCTGTCTGTCTGTCTTTCTTTCTTTCTTTCTATTTCTCTTTTCTTTCTTTAATGGCATTATTTAAATCTTTGTTTCTCTTTCTATCTCTTTTTCTTCTTTTCCTTTCTTTTCTTTACTTTCTTTCTCCATTGAAATTAGATATGCAAGTGTTCATGACAATATAACAGGTGAGCCATGCATTCAAAGTGGAGACCATGAAAAAAATTAAAAACCACAAAACTATATATATCATGGAGTCTTGGCCATTAATTCATACTTCTGATTAATGTATAAATTATGTACCATCTTAAATACATTGAGGAAGAAGAAGATGCACAAAGAGTTTAAACTATGTACTTAGGAATCACAGTGGTCATTTAGTATTTCCTAGCATTTAAAAAAAGACTCTCCCTGTGATGTCTATGTTCTAACCACTTTAGTAAGTAGTTCCCCTATTTCTTTATTCTCTTGTCTTACATGGGCTGGAGCAATAGCGCACTGATGAACAACTGGAGGAGAGTGCTACAGTGCTAGGATTTTCCTTACATGCAAGGTTTCCTCAATCTCATGACACTATGTTGCCTTAGGATCTAATTACCATTACTCATATTTCCATTTCTTTTTAGTTCTGTTTTAAATGCACATATCACTGGGAATTTTTGCCATAAAAGCAGAATGGGACTTTAAGTAGTATTGTAGACCAAATTCCAATGACCATCTAGAAGCAAGTATGAATCCTAATTTCATAATATTATGTTTTCTTAAAACAAGGAAAATGATAGCAAATGTAACAAAATCTGAGAAGTTAAAATTTCTCTTTAAGTTTCTACTCTTTATATCTTCACACATGCATAGTGTGATAAAGTATGACCTGAAATATACTTTTTTACTCTAAAGAGGATTCAAGTTTTATTTACTTCTTTTATTCAAGACTCCTCATTCTCATCTTCATTTGTCATGAAGTAAATGGTATCTCAGAAGGAGGGAAGGATAGGAGGGAGAACAGTCTGTGTTTTCAGCTGAGAAATTCTTAGATTCTCTTTATCAAAATAGTTTCCATTTTAAATGAGAGATCATGTTATACAAGTTCTTCCATATTGAGATTGGTTCCAGAGAGTTAATGTAACAGTTTCATCTCATCAATATATTCATTCATTTATTCATTTTTTTTTTGAGCTGGAGCGATAACACATCTAGTAGTACATTTGCCTTGCGTGAGGCCAACCGAGTTCAATTCCTCTGTCCCTCTTGGAGAGCCTGACAAGCTACCGAGAGTATCCCGCCCTCACAGCAGAGCCTAGCAAACTCCCCGTGGCATATTCAATATGACAAACACAGTAACAACAAGTCTCACAATGGAGACGTTACTGGTGCCCACTCTAGTAAATTAATGAACAACAGGAGGACAGTTCTCCAGTGCTATTCATTTGTTTATTTATTGGGTTTGGATAAGCAGTTTTCAGTGCTTTATATCAAGTTGTCGTTAATCAATTTTATTTGATAAAAAATATACCTTTAAAAAATATTATTTGCCACAAACTATACTCAGTGTCAGTCTCAAAAAATAGAATGCAGTCCATTGATGCTTGCCTCTCTCTCTAATTGGGTTCAGTTCTCTTTAATTATTATGTTAAATGCAGAACTACTACCAGAAATCAATTATTTCTTTTCTATAGAAGATCTAATAGTATAATGGAATAGTGTAAAAATCTGTAATAATAATATGTTTTCATCTTATGGACCAAGAAACATCCTTAAATTGGAATAATGGAAATACTAGATTATGAATAATTTTAAGTGTTGTAGCTGCTAAATAGTTCAGTCAAAATTTCTGAAAGATTATAAATAATATCAATAATGAACCTGTGAAACACAGTTAATATTTTGTGAATGATGTTTTTTAAAAAATTTACAATGGAAGTTCTCTTCATAGATGTTACTGTCACATTATACTCAACTAGAGAAAAAGTTGAGCCAGTGTTTTGTGACTGTCTGGGGTGAGCTAATACCTTGTCAGAAGATAAAGTGACTTCTGGAATTTAATTTTTTATTTCTTGTACCTCTGCTTTATACTAATTAAGCAATATATAAATATTAAAATTAAAGGATTCAAATTCTAAATTTATTATTTATTCATGATTATGATAAAATACCACTGATTATTAACTACCATAGAATCCTCTAAGTTTCCTCCCAAGTTTTTGTTCCACTTTTATTTACATTTATTCTTTTGCTTGTGATTAAAATATAAAATTTTGTAAAAATCATGTCATTGCACAAATATTATTGGGAAATTTAATGATATTAAATTTATTGCAAATTGTAAATTTATTATCAATAGCCCTGAAGGCATGAAGTTTAGTACCAGAGAGAATGTATAGTTTATAGATAGATACTTGCCTTCCATGCAACCTATTGGGGTTTAATCCACTGCACCCAGTATGGCTCACTGATCCCCAGCAGAATACACTAATACAATACTTTACAATAGCTATATTAACTCAGGCATGACAAAGAAAAAGAGACTTAAATAAAACTTAATATTATGATATTATTCAACTAATGTATTTTTCTAATATGATTTATTAAAACATATTATAATATGATTTATGTTTTAGTTCTTTCAGGTGTCTAACTCACATTGTATGATATTCTTCGAAGTTAAATGGAAAGCTATAGAAATGTCTCAGAATTCATTCTTCTTGGACTTTCTTACGGCCACAATCTACAAATATTCTGCTTTGTCCTCTTCTTACTCTGCTATATTACCCTGTTGGCAGGAAACTTTCTGATTCTTATCTCCGTCCAGTGCAGCCCTCTTTTTAACCAACCAATGTATTATTTCCTCATCCACTTGTCCTTAATAGACGTATGCTACACCTGCACAGTCACACCTAAATTTATTGGTGACTTATTAGTGGAGAGAAAGACCATTTCCTACAGTAACTGCATCTTACAGGTCTTTACCATGCACTTCTTTGGAGGTATCGAAATCTTCATTCTTACTGTCATGGCTTATGATCGCTACGTTGCCATTTGCAAACCCCTTCACTATATGCTTATCATGAACAGGACAAGGTGCAACCTCCTGGTCCTCACGACCTGGGTTGGTGCTGCTGTTCATGCCTTTCCTCTCTTAATAATAGCAATCAATTTACCCTTCTGTGGTCCAAATGAAATTGATCATTATTTTTGTGATATCTTTCCTTTACTTAAGCTTGCCTGCACTGATACCTACATCAGTGGCATCCTCATCATTGCCTTTGCAGGGATACTCTCCTTAGGAACCTTCGTTGTATTATTTTTGTCTTATGGGATTATATTATTCACTTTAAGAAATCAGTCAGCTGAAGGAAAACGCAAAGCATTATCTACCTGTGGGTCTCATATAACGGTGGTTATCTTATGTTTTGGACCTGTGATCTTTATCTACCTTAGGCCTCCTACTACTTTTCATGAGGACAAAATATTGGCGTTATTTTACACCATTATTACTCCTATGTTCAACCCTCTAATCTATACTCTGAGAAATACTGAAATGAAAAATACACTGAGGAAAGTTTGGTGTCAAACATTGCTTTCGAAAGAATCACCCAATTAGTTTAAAATTGCTTATTAGATCATCAAATTAATAAGGAAAATAATAAATGTGAATCCATTGTCTAAAACCTATAGATTTTACTTATGATTGCTTTATTGAAAAGAAAGATGTAAGTCGGTAACTTTATGATAATTACAAAAGAAATTCTAATTCTTGACTATGAAAAGTGATTGAAAATTAAATTCCTTTTTGTGATGTACAAGAATATTTATAAATTCAAGATAATCTGCAAGGAAAAAATAAATACAGAAGCAAGTTTTGTTCTTCAAGATGTTTTCAATATCCTCATACTATATTTAAGGATAAGTACGAATGATAGTTCTGTCAGAATTTTAATCTTCCAGAAAATATGAGAAAATAGTTATTTTTTTGTTGAAAGATCATCAGAATTAGCCTACAAGACCTTAATAGAATTAGTTGTGTACCTAACTCAATTCTTGATACATAGCACATATTGTTATTCTTCTTGGTGAGTATGTGTGGAGGACCTCATAAAATGTATGTAATTTTTTCTCTAGTGAAACTCTGTGAGTAATAAGATTTCTAGTCATACTCTGATTTATAATTAAAGATTTCAAGAAGTGTGCTTGGCTCTAATTAGAAACAAAATCCCTCCATATTGTTTTGACATGTTAATGAAGCCCCTTTCCATCTGAGGCCACCTCTTGATGAGCAGAGAGAAAGGGGGCGTGGGTTGTTTTCTCTTTGAAAAAAATCATGAGTAAGCCGGAACTGTTTTGTGAGAAAAGACTCTATGCCCAGAAAGTTTCTCCTAGGAAGAGCCTGAGATTACAAAGATTTATAAGAACTCATATTCAAATTTAAAAGAATTAAATTACATATATGTACTGAAATTTCTTTAACCAGTCATCTGTTCTCAGGCACTCGGGCTTTTTCCAGACTATGGCTATTGTAAATAGTGCTGCAATAAACATACAAGTGCAGAAGGCATTTCTACTGTATTTTTTTTTTTTGCATCTCCGGGATATATTCCCAAAAGTGGTGTTACTGGGTCAAATGGGAGCTCAATTTCTAGTTTTTTTGAGGAACGTCCATACATGAAACTTGTATATAAGTGGATCAACATGGAGAGCATCATGCTAAGTGAAATGAGTCAGAGAAAGAGAGAGAGGGACAGGCATAGAATGACTGCAATCACTTGTGGAATATAAAGTAACAGATTTGGAGACTAACACCCAGGGATAATAGAGATAAGGGCCAGGAGGCTCGTTTCAAGGCTTGGAGATGACCTCACATGCTGGGGGGAAAAGGCAGCTGAGATAGAGAAGGGACCACTAAGTGAATGATGCTTAGACGGTTCACATGAGATGGGAGATGCGTGCAAAATGTAGACTGTATATCAAACATGTTGACCACTTACTACTTGAATTGCAAACCATAACACCCAAAAGGAGAGAAAGAGAGAGCAAAAGGGAATGTGCCTTCCACAGAGGCAGGTGGAGGGAATGGGTTGGAGGTAGCAGGAAAGATACCGGGAAAATTGGTGGTTGAAAATGTGCAGTGGTGGAGGGATGGATACTCAATCATTTTATGACTGAAACGTAATCATGAAAGTTTATTAGTCTGTAACTGCACATCATAGTAATTCATTAAAAAATGAAAAATTGAAAAAAATATAATTAAATTTCATGGGGAAAGTCACCAAGATAGTCTCATTGTAGTGTTGAAGTTTTCATTTTGGACTGTAGAGAATCCAGAGTAGCTTATGCAGTGCTTAGGGATCAAACAAGCTTTATGCAGGGTGACCCCATCTTTTTTTAAAAAAAAAATCACCATGAGAACAGTTGCAAAGCTTTCAGGTTTAAGTCTCGGTCATACAATGATCAAACACCCATCCTTTCACCAGTGCACATGTTCTACCACCAAGAACCCCAGTATACCCCCATCCAGCCTCCCACCCACCAGTTTCCACTTTACTCTCTCTTTACTTAGATTACATTCAATTTTTTGACAGAAGACCTACCATTATTATTTGGAATTTCCCCCCGACATTCAGACCTGCCAAGAAAGCATCATAGATAATTTATTTTCTATTGCTGATAATGAAGAGCTTATGATGTCATGCACCCAAAACAGTGGCTGTGCAACTTTGGATTTCTGATATTTTAGTAAGTAAATCCGGAGGGATTTCTACCAGAAGCCCTGGGTTCCAAGATTGGTTTGTGTGCTTCTGGGATCATGACTATTCAGAAGCCGGAGGAGTCATTCATGGACGGCAACTTGGGGTCTCATTGGGGCAGGGAGAAGGGCTGGTTCAGGCCTACATTCCATGAGGCAGAGTCCACTGGGTTCCGTGAGATTGATTTGTGTGCCTCTGGTATCATGGCCATTCAGGAACCAGAGGCGCCATTTGTGGTGGCAACTCAAGGTCTCATCAGGGCAAGGAGATGGGCTGGTTCAGCCCCCATCCCGTGAGGCCCCACATGCAGGTGCGTACCTTTCAGTCCAATGGTCTCTAAAAGATGGTGGTCACCATGTCACCAAGTAGAGAAGGCAGAAGGGACAACGTCCTCTATCACTTGGGATGACATGGGGCCTGAGCTTAATTCACAGTCCAGAAGCTTGAGCCACCGTAAGATACAGTTACAAAGCTTTCATGTTTGATATTCAGCTATACAATGATCAATCACTCACCCCTCCACCAGTGCAAATTTTCCAGTATCCCCATTATCCCCTCCATTTCTATCTCAGTCCTTATTCTGCCTCTATGGGAGACAATTGTTCAGATACTTTCTCTATAGTTTTCTCTATAGTTGTGGATATTCCTACCACAACTCAAGCCTTCATTATAGGGGCAGATGATAGATCATCTATTTTCCATTGCTAACTTTGTATATCAGGAACACGACCACGTCCTTTGGAGAAATAGTCCTGGTCCCCACATACTGGAGCCATGCTTGTAGATGCTCATGGTTGTCAGAATTTCATCTGTAGATGGCGAGGAGACTATACCTACTCTGACTGGGGCAACCACTGATATCAGATAGGCTTGGGATCCAGAAAATTCTCCGGTGTTGTGATGCCTTCCAGGATTCTTCACTGCTGAGTGCTGCAAGATGATGCCAGGGGGCAGGTTGAGGGTGTGACTTCCTGGATCAGGGGCGGAGTGGAAGCTGAGATGGGACAGCCTGACTTCAGAGCACCCAAGCAGTTAGGAGAAATAATCTGGTCCCCACATACCGGAGCCATGCTTGTAGAAGCTCATGGTCTCTGGGAATACATCTGGAGAAGGCAGGGAGACTGTACCAGCTCCATCTGGAGCACCCTCGTGATATTAGCTCAGCTTGGGGACCAGAAAATTATCTGTGATGCCATCTTTGATCCCAAGCACTGTATATGGTCCCCTGACCCAGGTCAGGAGTAAAGCCTGAGGGCAGAGCAAAAAGTAGGAAAAGCACAGCTGGGTTTGGCCTCCAAACAAAACAAAATAAACTTTCAGTATGAGTAAAAGAAGCACTGTTGCACTGTCCTCCTGTTGTTGATTGATTGGCTCTAGCAGGCACCAGTAACGTCTCCATTGTGAGACGTGTTACTATTTTTGGTTTATCGAATACACCATGGGGAGCTTGCCAGGCTCTGCCCAGTGGGCGGGATACTCTCCTAGCTTGCTGGGTTCTCTGAGAGGAGCAGGAGAATTGAACCTGGGTCAGCCATGTGCAAGGAAAATGCTCAACCTGAAGTGCTATTGTTCCAACCCCCATAATAAAGGAAATAAGGTTTAATTATATATCACTTGTATCACTTATCTCGTTGACAATCAATTTCCTCGAGCAGGTGCCAGTAATGTCTCTATTCATCCCTGTTGCATGCTAGTATAATCCACTGGTTTCTGCTCAATTCAGAAACACAGAGCTTCAAGCCATTTGTTGAGGGTCTTAACGAAGAAGTCAGACCATCTAGTAGGTGGGTGGCCAGGCTTTCTTTTGACATCCCATAAAATCCTGTCAGTGATTGCTCTAGTCCAGTGGTAATCTCAAAATCGCATTATGTGTCCGGCCCATATGATATTCGACACCTTGGAAAATGAGGTAGCGTCCCTGCTCCTCAATCATCAACGGAGGTTGGAACTCCAGAATCCTTCTCCCACCTGAGTGAAGCGTGATATTCCAAGAACAACTATTTTGATTTCTCTTTGGGAGACCCAAATAGCATTCTCATCCTGTTTTCTAGGGCCCAGGAAGAACGGTGGAGTCAAAAACGATGTGCCCAAAGCCAGGGTTCTTTATCTCCTTAACAAATTCTTCTACGCTATTAATAGTGTTTCGCGTCACTCTCTTCCTCTTGCGCAGTTTTGGCATCAAGTCGTTAGTCATGTTGAGTTCTTGAACCAGGTGCACATAACTGCTGCATTCAAAGATGTTCGTTTTTTTTTGAGATCAAATGGAATGTCAGTTTGTTTCTCATGAAATCAATCTTTGTGAGTTTCACCTGCAGTCTGACCTTTCCATACTCAATGTCGAAGTTGGCCAGCATTTGTGCCAAGTGGCTAGTGTTTGGTGTTACTAGAATGATGTCATAAGCAAAGTGGAGGTGGTGTAGTTGCTGGCCCTCTATCTTCACTCCCATTCCTTCCCATTCTAGTTGTCGCTTGACATTCTCCAGGGTGGCACTGAAGCATTTCGGTGAAATGGTAATGTCTTATTGAACCACCCTCTATATTGATGATCACTTCCTTGTGAAATGGTGAGATCCTGGTGGTCAATCTGTAATACAGCTCATAGAGGATCCTGATGTACTGAGTTTGAATGCCCATTTTGGCTAGGGCTTTAATTACCACTTCAGTCTCAACAGAATCAAAGTCCTTCTTTAAATCAATGAACATTAGACAGAGCAGCATCTTGAATTCTCACAAAGCCTCAATGAGCTTGGTCACTTTGTGGATATGGTCGATCGTGCTGAATTCTTTTATAAACCGGCTTGCTCACATGGTTGTCCTACACCTAGAGTTCTGCCAATTCAGGATGACTCAAGTGAACGAA